CTTGGAGGAAGGGGGTAGGGAGGTGGGGAAAGGGAGGTGTTTGTTCCAATAGGCTATCATCCTAAGGTAGAGACTGCCCACCCAAGCCTGTGAGAGATTTGTCCTCAGCTGGCCACCGCCATGGGCTAACAGAAAATTCTCCAGGCCACAAGTCTGGAAAGTAGGGAAAAGGGAAGAAGGGCTGTCCTTCCCAGCCCCAGTGAAGAGGGGCCCCCACACATACCTCCACTTGCCCTGCCGTTCCCCCTTCTCCCCTCCCGGTGAGGGACACTGAGTGAGTGCACTGCTTAGTACTCTGGCCACAGCAGACCCATCTGGTTCCAATCAGGAGAACAGGTTCCCAGATCACAGAGGACATGGGGAGGGAGGCCACGGACAATAAGCAGCTCAACTTCACTGTGGCCCCCACCCACACCCCTCCCCTGGAGCACAGCCCTGTCCCCTTTGGTCTTCTTCCACCTCACGCACAGCCCCTGATAGACCAAGTGAGGCACACAAATGTCGGGGGCATGGGCCTCCCTTCCCTGCCTGGTAGTCTGACCGCAGACCCCAGACCTCTGTCCATAGTTAGACATTCAAACCACAGAGGAAAGAAGAAAAGAAAAACTAAAGGAAAGGAGGGGGCTGGAAGGGAGAGAAAGGGCTGCAAACATAAAGAGAGCAAGAGAAGTTTCTAGAAACCATCAAGTCCCAGCTGGATCTCATTAGGAATGGGGAAACAAATCCAGAGAAGGAAGTCTAACAGAAATTACTGAACTCAGCCCCAAGACCTGTCCAGGCATTGTGCCCACTGGTCTTCACAACACTGTGGGTAGGAATTATCATCCCCACTTGACAGAGGGAAAACTGAGGCTCCCGGGAGTCAAAGGTCTTACCTGCCCAACCTCATCCTGAGTCCATCTGATTCCCAAACCTTGAGGCCATGTTGCCTGCTCAGCTGTCTCCAGACTTTCACCAGGTAGGAATTTGGAGAAGCCTGCCCTCCCTGTGTGGGGTCTGCTTTGGTTCCCACCCCTCACATGCCCAGCCCCAGCCTCTGTCTTCAGGCAGAGTAGAAAGATGCGACCCTGAAAAAACAGCCCTTCTGTTCATAGCTTGGTGCCAGAGTTCTAATCCTGACTCTGGGTTACTTTGGTGTCTGGGCCTCAGGTTACCCATCAACAAAATGGACTGAGTTGTCAACAACTGTGTTGGGTAGTGATTCTGTAATTCCCCAAGCTTCTGTAAGTCACTCTGAACAGATCTAGAGACCTCCCCTTGGCTTGGGTGGTCTTCAAGAAAAGGGCTCTGACCCCAATTTCAGAATTTAGAGCTGGCAAGGGGGCTGAGAGGACAGAGGGACCCAGCCAGGCATGGAAGCTGCTAATCTCCATCTTTCCCCCCAGGAGACTGCTGCTGCCGCCTCCACTGAAAGCAATTTGTCATGCCCTGAATTAAGTGATTCCAACAAGGGTTTAATTTCAGTTTAATGGCTCTGTTTTTTATGTGTAATTAAATACCATGGCATGGCGAAAATATGTTGTTTGCACTTTAGAGACTGAGTAAGGGCCCGGGAAGCCATTGCTGCTCCCAGGCTCTGCCAGGCCTCCCCCAGCCTGGCTGGAATTGTCCAGGTGGTGGGGAAGGGGGTTGGGACCTGAGGAAAAGAGGGGGGAGGATAGAGCAGGGGCGGTCCTGGTGGCGCCTGCTCACTCAACGGAGCATGTTTCTAATTATCTGCAGCCACCCCTCCCACGTCTACTCCCTGACCCCCGCCTTCCCCAGCCTCTGGGGCCTCAGACACAGAGGGGACAGGTCACTCAAGAGAGGCTCTAATTAGAACCTTCATTGGCTCCAGCCCATGTCTGCTCCCCCTTGGGTGTGCCCAGAGGTCTGCTCACCGTCCTCCCCTGCAAACTATCCCATTCTCCCCTTCCCTAGAGACCCAGCAGCCAGCCTGCCTCCCAGCCCCACCTCATCACATCACCTTGACTTTCTGGGCCTGGAATTCAGGGCAGTTTCAGGATCATTTACCGCACACCATATAACCCCCTACCCTAAGGGAGGTCTAAGCAGGCGCCCCAAGTCCTGCACAACCTCACCATATTCCTGCAGCAGCCTGGTGGCAGAATGGGACCCACAGGGCAGAGGGTTTTGACAAATGGACTTTTCCTAGAAGGAACTGAAGGACAGCAGTGGCTAGAACCAGTTTTCCAGACTCCCCACCTGAATCCAAGGCTGGAGTCTCCCCAACCCTCTCTCTTTAGTCCCTACCCCCACTCAGCCTTCTTGCCAGGGGAAAACCCAGCCCCCAACCCTCAGTGGACATCAGGGCTTGATCTCCACTAATGAGCTGGGAAATGGAAACCAAATGCTTGACGCAGATCAGCACCGCTGAGCTTGGGGATCAGGGCAAGCAGAGTGCCCCCATCTTGTCCCCTGCTCCAAGCCCAGCCATGGGAGGGAATGATATTTCTTGGGACGGCAGGGCACTCAAGACTTGGATTCTCAAGTTCACCCAGATCTGGGGGACCCACCAGGACACAAGGTCCTCACTACCTCCCTCACATCTTTGCCAGAGGTCCTGACACCCCTGTCACAACTGGAGGGACAGTTCAAGGTTATTCCCACCAATCCAAGGATGGGCAAGTGGCCAGGGTAAGGACAATGTTCCTGCAGGATGTGGAGTTCTTCTTCAAAGTGTACATCTTCTATTCTCTGGTGCTTGACAGCTCCCCACAAACTCTGTTGTGGGGACACCTAATGTGGGAGGGTCCACATGTTCACTCCTGGGAGGAAGCACAGATTCTGGGAATGTCTCATTCCCTTTCTCCTAACACCATACAGAGACACACTCAGTCACACACAACCGATGCATATGACCTTCATGTACACACCACACAAGTGCATGTCCAGACTCACACACCACACAGTAACACACACACACTGTAAAAGGC